CTAGGTTCTTCTTTTCCTGACACACTCAAATGGCCCCACAAAGGACCCTCACCCCATATGCTTCACATGTTCATATTCTAGTTTATTACTTTGTAAACTGTAATTTGCACTCTACTTCACTCATGTCTACATCCCTGTATACATATGGCCAAACTTGTCTTTACATATACATGCATGCACATCCAAGACACATATGTACAGCCAAATACACATTAAATCCTGTACACATATATATACATATGTGTACAGGTGTTAATGGATGTATGTAAGCAAATCCATTTATGTATACACATGTACAATCATGTATATAGATGTTCATCCATGTGCACACATAAACTTGTGTACCAACAAGTAGCATATTCTAATGTTGTGCCAATTTTATTAAGTTATGGATTTCAGTGGCTTTGCAGAAGTTATTTTCAAAGAATATTCATTACAAGTAAACCAACTGTTATGTGTTTATGCTAACAAGTGGCATTAAGAAGATAAAAGAAAGGAGTTTTTAATAAGTTTTAGGTATTAGAGTTCTTAATTACTGATGAAATGTCAAAACAAAGGAAAAAAAGATACTGGCATTTCCCTTACTTGTATCTCTTGGACTGACATTTTTGCCACTTGTATATGCTCTGGCACATTTAATTTTCAATCAGTATCATATCTAACCATACCCCTAGTTATACAATGAAAATGCAAATCAAGATCAAATCTCATTAGAAATTACCTATAATTTTTTTTTTCTTCATGAAATATATATGTAACCTATTGCATTTTTTTTGGTGGGGGGGGGGGGTTACTCTGTTATCAGAGTATGTGCATTTTTTTCTTCTCGCATGTAACACTAAATGAGATAAAGCACACACAAGGAAGATACCTATTCTGTTGTCTTGTGCATGCAAGGCTCTTAATATATTTGTGGTAGTCATTTTTGTTCTGTTTTATAATTTACAGAGATAAAAGAATTGAAGTTTTGATGATATGCAGAACAGTGTTAACTGATTACAGGTTGACAAGTTTAGTCAACTGAAAAAGAAAAAAGGAGAAAAAAAATATAAATCTATACATTATGTAGTGAGGAGAGTACTGCAAGTATCTAATGATAAATAAAAAAATTGCAACATGAATATTTACCAGAGAGTGCTGCAGCCCTTGGTGAATAGGTGATGTCACATCCTCACAGTAGCTATGACCAGCTGTACTTCCTTCACCAATGTCGCCTAAGCCGGGCCACTAGAAGGAAAGTATAACGTTAAATTTAACACATTGTAAACTATTTAGGACCCAATACAGATCATATTTAAACCCATTTGCCCCGGAATTTTGTGCACATCGCTGAACCCCGCTCCCAGGAATAGTTGCCAGCCGAGTGGGCCCCCGCTATTTTTTCTGGAGCGATGCGGCTGCACAAAGACCATCATATCAATTTTGCAGGAATCTGGCCATAGATCTTGTAGTAAAGTTGGGATTTATATAAGGGTAACGTGTAGAAATTGCACTTTTCTCATGGTGTTTTCTAGGCATTCTTTCGCCTTTGCATTGAGGAGAGATACTGAATCGCTTCCAAGTTGTCTATATTAACAGATGACATCAACACTTTGATGCTAAAAGTTAGTGTTTTTTTTAACCAGATGTCAATCTATGGACTTAGCTGTTTTTTTTGTTTTTTTTTTCAAACTTTCAAATGAAGCAAAATATGAAGCACAGCAGCAAGCCAAATATCATTTTGATGCTCAGAAGTAGTGCAGTGTCCATATGAAATATCAATCCATGCTTTTTTTTTTATTTCTTTCAACAGAAAAGGAAGAAAAGCTGAAGTGAATGTAGTTTCACTTTGATGCTCAAAAATAGCTTTGTATCTATATGAGAGGTTATACTGTGTAAGTTTAGTTGTCTATATCAACAGATGAAATCAACACTTTGATGCTAAAATTTAGTGTTGTTTTTGAACGAGATGTCAAACTATGGACTTAGCCGTTATTTTTGTTTTTTTTTCAAACTTTCAAATGAAACAAAATATGAAGCACAGCAGCAAACCAAATATCATTTTGATGCTCAGAAGTAGTGCATTGTCCATATAAGAGATCAAACCATGCTTTTTTTTTATTTCTTTCAACAGATAAGTAAGAAATGCAGAAGTGAATGTAGCTTCACTTTGATGCTCAAAAATAGCTTTTTATTGATATGAGAGGTCATACTGTGTAAGTTTTGTGTTTTTTTTCTTTCGTACGAGACTTGTAAGAGAGAATAGAGTTCATTTAGCTTATTTATGAATGATAAAAGTTGCTGTTTTTTTGTGTGGACTTTGCTGCCTTTTTCAATTACAAAAAGGAGAACAAGAAACAGAATTGTACCCATCACCACTTTTATTTTTTTTGCTTATACTAATTTTTTATCAAAATGATATTTTTCGAAGCACCCATAGGTGCATAACGAGACTTCACATGCTGGACATATAGTTTTCGTCATCTTCCTCCTTCCGGCCCTGTAGCAGAGGAAACACCTCCTGTACTTTCCTCCAGGCGTCTCCCTCACTACGTGACGAGTCCTGCCCTGGTGGCGGGAGTGAGAGCGTGAGCGAGGGCTAGAGCAAGGGCTAGAGCGAGGGCGAGGGCAAGGGCGAGGGCAAGAGTGAGGGCGAGGACTAGAGCGAGAACGAGAGCATGGGTGAGGGCTAGAGCCAAGGAGAGAACCAGGCCGAGTGACAGGGCGAGAGCGAGAAAGGGAGCGAGAGCTCTGATCTTCCATGGTTGCGAGCATTCTGCTAGAATGAGCCTTTGACTGGCCTTTTATTCACATGACTAACCAATCAGGTCATACCATGTGACCTGATCCACCAATCAAAGAAATTACTAGTTTCCAGCCAGTCAGGTCAAGGTACATCATAAATACGCAATCTAGTGTGAACAAATCACATGATTACACGTCATTAATTAATTACGTCATAATTACATGTCATAATTACTAACTTCACATAATTATCAACCAATCAAGTAAGACTAGCAGCAGAGCCATCTATTAGGTAAAGAAGAAAAAATAAACAGTCAGTCTGTAGTCAGTCATCATGGCAAAAACACGTGCCAAACGTTATGGGGCTCGTAGAAGCCATGGCAAGATTAGATGCCATGCGTGTTGGGGTCCTTTAATAGCATGGCAAGAATAGATGCCACATGTGGCAAATGGGTTAAAATCAAGAATTACACTGATTCTGAGGCTTCAGAAAGAAATAGAAGCATTGTTACATTTGTACACTAGCAAATGATAAACATCTAAAAAACATTTTTAAGATATTTATCATACTAAAGACTGACACGTAAAAAAAAAAGTGGGGGAGGTTGTAAAATAACAAACAATATTTGGTCTTATCACATCATCCAAATATGAGGTTCGAGAGGATTACATATAGTTTTTTGCTTTTTCCTTAAACCACAATGAGATAGCTGTCTGGTTAAATTTTGTATTTCAAAAGAAGTAAGCACACAATTTTAACATAGATAACTGCACAACTCCTGCTGAATTTTGCAAAAGGACATCAGAAAACATTCTACTGGAGCCTCCAAAAATAAAAAGGCTAATTTTTGCAATAAATAGATTATATGTATAATTGCTGATTTGCTGCAGAAATGATTTACTTCATTATGATTATTCTAATTGTTCATAACTATTTACTGAATCAAAACTATGAATGTAATCATAATTATATGCTACACATATGTGTATATGTATAAATACTTTTCACATGTAAGAGCAACAACTGCACAAACTACCAATAGCTTCCTCTTTGCTTATCAGCGACAATCCATTATATGAAGCAGGCCATAAATTTGATATTTGTGTCTGAAACCTCTTCAATTGTGTTGCCACACCTGCATGGTTGTATAAAAAGGAATTTACATATAACTGTTGTTTTCATGTCGTAATATACCATTTTTCTTTCATAACCTATAAATAAGAAGTAATTTAGGTAAATGTCAAGTTTAGAACCTGCCTGAAAAAAACAACAACAAAAAAACAATAACATGGCAAAGTGAAAAGGTTTTACTGCTATACTATCTAACCCTTTGGTTGTGGATAGTGTGACATCATGCAATGGCTGTGGTTAACCAAGTTGCAGATGGCAATGCATTATGACATACCCCGCACCATTGGTTCATCAAGAAATTATCTTTCTCTAATAGTAGTGGCATCGTATGTCTGGAGTTACAATTTGATACAGGCACTAAAAGTAAAGGAAAACCTTCACTTTTTTTTTTTTAATGAAATAAAAGTATAAGCTATTATGTGCCTAATGTTGTTATGTGAAGTACCGAAAGGGCCAGGTGCAAAAAATAGAGAAAAAAATCTAATGGAAGGAATACTTTAAAAATTATGTATAATTTTGTCTTTTCAGCAAGAATAATTATCCTAAAAACAGTAAAGTATACCAAGTAATGAAAACAATTATCTAAATGGAATTAGGAATGCTTTGAAATATAAGTATACTGTAATGGTGATTTGTTGCTTTGGGGTTTCATAGCAAATAACAGAGCAAAGGAACCTGATTGGCATGGTACTGATGATCATCTTCAGTAATAACATCAACAGCTATATTAATTACACATTGTGGTATTAACGGCTCATATCATTAACTCTCATTATTGGAATCTACTCCATTGCACTTAATATTACCATTATCATTTATACTGTTATTTACATATTTTGCTAAACATTACTATTATTGTAGTTTCCCATATCATAGAAAGGTACGATACAGTCCCAATTATTATCATTATTATCATCAATAATACTGTCATCAATATAATGATTATTATCAAAAATGAGAGTCAATAACATCCTAATCACTGCAAGGTACTTTACCTGTTGAAAACAGAGCCACTCTTCACTCAAAGATCAGAGAAGAAAACAGAATTCATAAACCCGACTCCAGTTGTAGAAAATGCACCTATCATGGTATGGGGAGTGGATGAGGCTACATTGTGTGTTTGTGAATCAATGCTGTGTGTGAA